CTCCGTTTAAAAAAAAAAGAAAAAGGCCGGGCGCGGTGGCTCACGCCTGTAATCCCAGCACTTTGGGAGGCCGAGGCGGGCGGATCACAAGGTCAGGAGATCGAGACCACGGTGAAACCCCGTCTCTACTAAAAATACAAAAAATTAGCCGGGCGCGGTTGTGGGCGCCTGTAGTCCCAGCTACTCGGGAGGCTGAGGCAGGAGAATGGCATGAACCCGGGAGGCGGAGCTTGCAGTGAGCCGAGATCGCGCCACTGCACTCCAGCCTGGGCGACAGAGCGAGACTCTGTCTCAAAAAAAAAAAAAAAAAAAGAAAAAGAAAAAAAGAAAAGAAAAAAGATATTCTCTAACATAACCACAGTAGTTATCAACTCAGTGAATTTAATATTGATACATCATTACCACAATCAATATATAAAACAATTCCATTATGCCCCAAAATTCCCTCATGCTTCCACTTCATAGTTAACTCCTCCCCCAATACCCTGGCCACCACTATTTCCAATCCCTAAAATTTTCCCTTTTTCAGAATGTCACATAAGTGAAATCACACATACACATCTAGTATGTGGCCTTTTTTAAAAAATTGTAAGCTGACTGGGCGCAGTGGCTCACACCTGTAATGCTAGCTCTTCGGGAGGCCCAGGCAGGTGGATCATCTGAGGTCGGGAGTTTAACACCAGCCTGGCCAACAAGACGAAACCCCATCTCTACTAAAAATACGAAAAATTAGCCAGGTGTGGTGGCACACACCTGTAATCCCAGCTACTTGGGAGGCTGAGGAAGGAGAATCGCTTGAACCCGGGAGGTGGAGGTTGCAGTGAGCCGAGGTTGTGCCACTGCACTCCAGCCTGCGTGACGGGAGCAAGACTCTATCTCAAAAAAAAAAAAAAAAAAAAAAAAAAATTGTAAGCAAATACACATCAAATAAAATGCACCGTTTTAAAGTGTACAATTCAGAAGCATTAAGTACATTCACAATGTTGTGCAACCATCACTACTACCTAGTTCCAGAACACTTTTATCAGCCCAAAAGAAGTACTATAACCATTAGGGAGGCATTCCCCATTCCCCCAGCCCCTGGCAACCACCAATCTGCTTTCTATCTCTATGGGTGTGCCTACTCTAGATATTTCATATAAACTGAATTGTACAATATTTGGTCTTTTGTGTCTGGCTTCTTTCATATTGTTTTCAAGGTTCATCCAAGTTGTAGCATACATCAGTATTTCATTCCTCCTTATGGCAGTGTATATATCCTTATGAGTCTAGTTTCTTTCACTCAGCATATTGCCATTGAGATTCATCCATGTTGTTGGGTGCATCAGTAGTTTCTTCTTTATTGCTGAGCAGTATTCCATTTTATACATATACTAGAGTTTGTCTAGTCACCAAAAGACATTTTACTTCTGGTACTTTTTCCAGAAATAATCATGTAACTCAAGATAATTTACAGTTCATGGGGTTATAATGTATTTGTAAATGGCAAAAGAAAAATTCAAATATACAGAACACATATAGGTCCAAAATCTCTTATCTACAATTCCAAAATCCCATAAATGTCAAGTTTTTTGGTAAACTTCAACAAAGTCATTTTGAGGCAAGTCCTGGCCTACACCATAATGAGTCGCTTTAGTCTTTATTTACTCCTCTTAGTGACAATATTAATAATTTTGCAGCATATTATGTCTCAGTACACATTCCCCTGGAAGATATAATTTCTATATGATCTATGTAAATTACATTTCTATAACTTGAAAAATTCATAAGCTCATTTAACCTCATAGTTTCTATATAAAATTGTGACCCTGTACTTATACAGCTCTAGAGGAGACAAAAATCACACTAATACATTACTAGAGTCAATGAAGAGGCATTAATCTTCTCTCCCGTGTTATAGATCAGCCCTCCATTACATCAACTAAAAGGACAGACTGTACTCCACAATTCTCCTCTTATGAGCAATATCCATCCTGCATGGTCTCTGCAGGTCATCACTCAGCCTAAAATATTGACTGCCAGTTTTCACCTATGAAAGTCACCTTTTTGGGTGGACATACTGGTTCACATCTGTAATCCCAGCACTTTGGGAAGATGAGGCAGGAGAATCACTTGAACCCAGGAGTTCGAGACCAGCCTGGGCAACATAGTGAGACTGCGCCTCTACAAAAAGTTTAAAAATTAGCCTGGCATGGTGCACACCTGTAGTCCTAACTACTTTGGAGGTTGAGACAGAAGGATCACTTGAGCCCAGGGGTTTGAGGTTATAGTAAGCTATGATTGTACCAATGAACTCCAACCTGGGCAAGAGAGTAAGACTCTTTCTCTTATAAAAAAAAAATTTAAGTCACTGTTACTACTAAGATTCACATTTTTTTTTCTTTTTCTTTTTAAGAGACAAGGTCTTGCTATGTTGCCCAGGCTGACCTCAAACTCCTAGGCTCAAGCAATTCTCCCATCTCAGACTCCCAAGTAGTTAGGACTACAGGTGTGCAACACCATGCCTGACTACCACATATGATCTTTTAACAGTAAACACTATAGTTCTCAGAACATCTGATTGTTCCAAGACATATTCTTTAGCAGATATGTAAGACCTAAGCTGCACTGCTGTGAAACATACACTACCCTTTAATGCTCCTCACCTGAGGGGAAATCACAGCTGCTCTTCACAAACATCATAAATAATAATCTATTCCATGTATACAGAGAACCTACTGAATGTCAGTCACTGGTGGAAACAAGAAGGAATAAGGCTCCTGCTGACATTCCTCTCTAGTGAGAGAAATAAGATACACAAAACCACTGAGAAAAGTATCAGTGATAGATCCAATACCACTGACAGATTCAATCCAATCAGTGACCAGTGATAGATCAGTGATAGACCCAACTGAAAAATACCAGTGATAGAAATATCCAATCAGTGATAAATCCACTGAGAAAAATATCAGTGATAGATCCAAACAAGGATATGATGGAAAACAACTACCAGATGATTTCAGATTTGAGGGTGACACAAGGCCTCAGAGAGGTGAAACTGAAGCCAAGAACTAGACCCCAGAAGACAAGTAAAGATCAGAGGGAAGAGCAGTACAAAGACCCTGACACAGAAAGAAGTTTGTATGGGTCAAAGACAAGAGAAAAGCTCAGTGTGTCTACAGTAAAATAGAGTAGGTGGAGAGTAGTACTGAATGAGATCAGACTGCCAAGGGTCAGCTCATGCATGGGTTTGTAAGACAAAACAAGAAGTTGGGAATTTCTTCCAAGTGAAGATGAATGCCCTAAGAGGGTTTTAGACATGGGAGTAACATGATCTGGCTGATATTGTCAAAAGTTCATCCTATTTGTCACATAGAGATGTAATACAGATAATATGAAACTGGTAATCCAATCATTTCACTAAAAAATGAAAACAAACAAAAAACACAACTTAATAGAATGCCAAGAAAAGACTGCATTTGCTGAAAGGTGTTTCTCGTTTTATTTTCAAGCACTGTCTTGAATGATTTCCCATGTGTACCAATGTCTTCAGTCTGCCAATTCTAATAGCTACCACAATCAGCAAATTTAAGAACTTCCTCTCTAGACCCTATATGTTAATACAATTTCTACTGTGCTGACAAATTTGACAATTAGAAAGTCAACGAATACTAAAGAAACTGGAGTTTGAACGGCTATTTAAATATTAAGACATCTTCTTTCCAAACATATCAATACTTAATGAAAGCACAGTTCATGAAACCAGACTGAGGTTATCATCCTGAGAGTTAAAAAGCATCTCCAGCCTGTAAATTCTACTTTGAGTTCCCAAAGAAAGCATGTATGAGGCATATGCAAAAAATAAATATAACCAACAAAAGTGAGATACCAAGAAGAACAATATATCTACTCTTAGTCATGTTTCCACAAATTCAGGGTTCATGTTTTTAAAACAAAAAAATAATTGGCTCTCTGAGAAATAACACTTCCTGAGCTTGTTCTCAAATTACAGAACAAATTATTTCTGGACTTAATACCGTATTCTTTCAAACACCAAAATTTATTTTGTGGACAATTTTCCTCTGCAGAAGCATTCTGAAGAAGTTATCTAGTTAATGCAAAATTTTTATCCCATGATAAACTGCTAATAGTAAATTATATCCTCAAAATATGACATGTTCTTACTTGAAGATGTCTTTAACTAAATTACTGAAATTCTAAGTTCTGTGAAGACTCATGCTCTATTCTCTTCCATTTAAAATTCTGCAAAATAGGTCACCTAAAGATTACCTTTATTTTTAAACCACTTATTATTATACATAGTTCTAAAAATATTGGTCAAAAACCTTGAGTTCTTGACATTTCACCTTTGCCTACTTTCACTGTAGTAAGATGTAAAGGAAATGACTGAAATTGGTGCTGTGAAATACGACTAGGAGGATATTCTGAAAAGTTTAATCCACCATTCAGACCACAGAACAGATGTCAAAGGGAAAGCTCTTCTGGATCTATTCATGGATTTCAACAAAATAACTGTAACAGGACTCCATTCTCAAAGCAAAACTGAAAATTAAAGAAACCACTAATTTGTACAATTTCTCTAGGAAGTTATAAATTTTACTCTGAAGCAATGAATGTAAAGTTTTACATACAGCAAGCTTATTAAATCCTACTAGGCTCAAACATAAACATTCCACCACCATGAAGAACATCCATAGCAAGTTAAATAATTATATAAAATATATTCAGGGCAATTGCTGCGACACTCTATATATCACAGGCATTCAGAAGAACTGGAACATGCATCCTCATCACCCATGCGTGGACAAACATCCACAAAGAACCACAGCTAAGATTAAAGCTGGTTGTTATTTGGAGGCACCAACGGGAGGCTTCTGGAAATTTTAATTGTTTTAAGAAATTTGTTTCTTAAAACAAATTTTAAGTAGCACATGATGCAGAGATCTGACAGAGACTTGACTCCTCCTAACCCAAGGCCACATGCAAGTTAAGAAACTCACCTGTGTTATACTCCTTCAACTGCAAGTTCTTTACAGGCATGCCATCAGGAGTCCGAAAAGCATTAAGAATCTGCAAAAATATGGCATTTACACTAATGACACAAATCATAATCAAACACTGAATATTAGATTTTCCCTAACGATTTTTATCATACATAATTTAAAGCCACGATACTCTGTAAAAGCAAAGTTAAATTATGAACACTCAAGACATTCACATATTGAATGAGTAGAAGATAATTATTCAAAAATCAGTGGGATACAGTGGCTCAAGCCTATAATCTCAGCACTTTGAGAGGCCAAGGTGGGAGGATCGCTTAAAGCCACATGTTTGAGACAAGCCTGGGCAACACAGTGATACCCTATCTCTACAAAAAAAAAATTTCTTAATTAGCCAGGAGACTACATGGTGGCTCACACATGTAATCCCAGCACTTTGGGAATCCAAGGCGGGTGGATAACCTAAGGTCAGGCGTTCGAGACCAGCCTGGCTAACATGGTGAAACCCCATTTCTACTAAAAATACAAAAATTAGCCGCCGGGTGTGGTGGCACACGCCTGTAATCCCAGCTACTCGGAAGGCTGAGGCAGGAGAAACACTTGAACATGGAAGGCTGAGGCTGCAGTGAGCGGAGATCATGACACTGCATTCCAGCCTGGGCAACAGAGCAAGACTCTATCTTAGGCCGGGCACGGTGGCTCAAGCCTGTAATCCCAGCACTTTGGGAGGCCGAGACAGGCGGATCACGAGGTCAGGAGATCGAGACCATCCTGGCTAACACGGTGAAACCCTATCTCTACTAAAAAATATAAAAAACTAGCCGGGCGAGGTGGCGGGCGCCTGTAGTCCCAGCTACTCCAGAGGCTGAGGCAGGAGAATGGTGTAAACCCGGGAGGTGGAGCTTGCAGTGAGCTGAGATCCGGCCACTGCACTCCAGCCTGGGCGACAGAGCGAGACTCCGCCTCAAAAAAAAAAAAAAAAAAAAGACTCTATCTTAAAAAAAAAAAAGGCCGGGCATGGTGGCTCAAGCCTGTGATCCCAGCACTTTGGGAGGCCAAGAAGGGCGGATCACGAGGTAAGGGGATCGATACCATCCTGGCTAACACGGTGAAACCCCATCTCTACTGAAAAATACAAAAAACAAGCCGGGCGAGGTGGCGGCGCCTGTAGTCCCAGCTACTCGGGAGGCTGAGGCAGGAGAATGGCATGAACGGGAGGCGGAGCTTGCAGTGAGCTGAGATCCGGCCACTGCACTCCAGCTTGGGCGACAGAGGGAGACTCCGTCTCAAAAGAAAAAAAAAGGGGGCCAGGCGCAGTGGTTCACGCCTGTAATCCTAAACTTTGGGAGGCTGAGGCAGGCAGATCACGAGGTCAGGAGATCAAGACCATCCTGGCTAACATGGTGAAAGCCCGTCTCTACTAAAAAATACAAAAAATTGGCCGGGCGCAGTGGCTCACGCCTGTAATCCCAGCACTTTGGGAGGCCGAGACGGGTGGATCACGAGGTCAGGAGATCGAGACCATCCTGGCTAACACGGTGAAACCCCGTCTCTACTAAAAATATAAAAAACTAGCCGGGCGTGGTGGCGGCGCCTGTAGTCCCTGCTACTTGGGAGGCTGAGGCAGGAGAACGGGGTGAACCCAGGAGGCGGGGCTTGCAGTGAGCCGAGATCGGCAAGCCGAGATCGCGCCATTGCACTCCAGCCTGGGTGACAGCGAGACTCCGTCTCTAAATAAATAAATAAATAAATAAATAAAATATAAAAGTAAAAATTAAAAAAAAAAAATTAGCCAGGAGTAGTGGCTCACACCTATAATCCCAGCTACTCGGGAGGATAGTTTGAGCCCAGGAGTTTGAGGCTGTAGTGAGCCTTGATTGGGTCAAGTTTGAGGCTGTAGTGAGTTTGAGGCTGTAGTGAGCCTTGATTGGGTCAAGTTTGAGGCTGTAGTGAGCCTTGATTGAGCCAGTCTGGAGTACCCTGTCTCAATAAATAAATAAATAAATAAATATTTTAAAATACTCAGGTACATAAGAAAAGCAGGGCCAGAAGCGGTGGCTCACATCTGTAATCCCAGCACTTTGGGAGGCTGAGGCAGGCGGATCATAAGGTCAGGGGATCGAGATCATCCTGGCTAAAACAGTGAAACCCCATTTCTACTAAAAATACAAAAAATTAGCCGGGCGTGGTGGCACTTGCCTGTAGTCCCAGCTACTCAGGAGACTGAGGCAGGAGAATTGCTTGAACCCGGGAGGCAGAGGTTTCAGTGACCCAAGATTGTGCCACTGCACTCCAGCCTGGGCAAAAGAACAAGACTCTGTCTCAAAAAAAAAAAAAAAAAAATGCCAGGTGCAGTGGCTCATGCCTGTAATCTCAGCACTTTGGGAGGCTGAGGCGGGTGGATCACTTGAGGTCAGGAGTTCAAGATCAGCCTGACCAAGATGGTGAAACCCCATCTCTACTAAAAATATAAAAATTAGCCGGGTGCAGTGGCAGGCGCTTGTAATCCCAGCTACTTGGGAGGCTGAGGCAGGAGAATCGCTTGAACCCTGGCAGCAGAAGTTGCGGTGAGCCGAGATCGCGCCCACTCCAGCCTGGGCGACAGAGTGAAACTGTCTCAAAAGAAAAAAAAAGAAAAGCAGAAGAGCATAACCTTCAAAGGCTCAAGCTCTGAAATCATACTGTGTGCCTTCCAAGCTCTCCACTCACTTGCTGTGTAACCTTTTAGTGTCCAGTTTCTCATGTGTTAAACATAAAATGATATACTGGGTTCATTACAGTCCAGGGCCACAGCACTTCCTCAGCATGAACTGCCTGGGCAGTTCATTTCCCCATATTCAAATGAACTGTTCTCTCACTGCATTCAGGCCTGGGCTCAAATGCCTCTTCCTCAGTGATGCCTCCCTAACTACACAATACAGAAAACAGCCCCATTAGCATGCACACTTGTGGTCCCAGCTACTCAGGAGGCTGAGGTGGTAGGATCAATTGAACCCAAGGGGTAGAAGCTACAGTGAGCCGTGATTGTGCCAATGCACTACAGCATGGGCAACAAAGTGAGACGCTGCCTCAAAAAAATTAAAAATGGGCTGGGCGCGGTGGCTTACACCTGTAATCCCAGCACTTTGGGAGGCAGAGGCAGGGAGATAACCTGAGGTCAGGAGTTCGAGAACAGCCTGACCAATATAGTGAAACTCCCGTCTCTACTAAAAGTACAAAAATTAGCTGGGCGTGGTGGTGTGTGCCTGTAGTCCCATCTACTCGGGAGGCTGTGGCAGGAGAATGGCTTGAACTGGGGAGGCGGAGGTTGCAGTGCACCAAGGTCGCATCACGCACTCCAGCCTGGGCGACAGAGCAAGACTCTGTCTCTGAGCTACAGGCCGAGCTACCATGCCTGGCCTGCACTTTAGTTTTCTTCAGAGTATTTATTCTCTGACTAAAATTGTGTAATCCTTTTGCTTGCTTTTTCATTATCCATGGAGGCAGTGACTTTATAATATAAACTGCTGTGTCACTCAGTATCTAGAACAATGTCTGGTATACAATAATGCTTACTATTTAGAGTGAATATATTAAATATGTGGTAATTAAATGAACTAATGCTTGTAAGTATCACACAATGTCTGGCACAGAGTGAGCCCTGCCATAGTTCAGACTTAATTTAGTCAGCCAATCCTTTGATTATCGGGCAGTTAGGCAGTTTCTAGTTTTTACTATTGTAAATAAACTGCATCCTTATGTACATACTCCAGAAATAATATGCTCTAAAGGATGTGATCAGGTCTAAAGAGAACAATCATTTGTCATAATTTTTTTTAACCTCACCTCAGTGACTGCATGTATAAATGGTGAAATCTGAATAAACTAATCTGAATAAACTTCATGAATTATACCAGGGTCAGTTTCTTGGTTTAGATACTACACCACAGTTGTGCAAAATATTAACACTTAGGGAGGATGGGAGAAAAATACACAAGACTTCTCTGTGCATTTCTTTGCACCTTCTTGTGAATCTATTTCTCAAATTAAAAGGTTTTTTAATTTTTTTTTTTTTTTTTTTTTGAGACGGAGTCTCGCTCTGTCGCCCAGGCTGGAGTGCAGTGGCCGGATCTCAGCTCACTGCAAGCTCCGCCTCCCGGGTTCACGCCATTCTCCTGCCTCAGCCTCCCGAGTAGCTGGGACTACAGGCGCCCGCCACCTCGCCCGGCTAGTTTTTTGTATTTTTTAGTAGAGACGGGGTTTCACCGTGTTAGCCAGGATAGTCTCGATCTCCTGACCTCGTGATCCACCCGTCTCGGCCTCCCAAAGTGCTGGGATTACAGGCTTGAGCCACCGCGCCCGGCCAAAAGGTTTTTTAATTTTTAATTGACACAGAGAAACAGGAGAGAAGACATGCCTTACCTCTTCTTTTGTGGCATTTTCGGGCACCCCACTTAATCGAATAAGCCTGCTGGGTTTCTCCTCACTTGGGCCAGTCCTATAATCTTGATCCTTAAATTGAAAATGAAAAATTATTTCACAAATAAATATACTTTACTGTACAAAATACAAATCAACATGAAATTTTCTCTATTGTTCTGAGTGCCAGAATGTGACTTTAAATCACAAGAATGTAAATGTGCTAAGACCAAGGCTCACTGAAAGAGTCTTGAAAGTAAAGCGGCCGGGCGCCGTGGCTCAAGCCTGTAATCCCAGCACTTTGGGAGGCCGAGACGGGCGGATCATGAGGTCAGGAGATCGAGACCATCCTGGCTAACACGGTGAAACCCCGTCTCTACTAAAAAAAATACAAAAAAACTAGCCGGGCAAAGTGGCGGATGCCTGTAGTCCCAGCTACTCGGGAGGCTGAGGCAGGAGAATGGCGTGAACCCGAGAGGAGGAGCTTGCAGTGAGCTGAGATCCAGCCACTGCACTCCAGCCTGGGTGACAGAGCAAGACTCCGTCTCAAAAAAAAAAAGAAAGTAAAGCGGCCGGGCGCGGTGGCTCAAGCCTGTAATCCCAGCACTTTGGGAGGCCGAGACGGGCGGATCACGAGGTCAGGAGATGGAGACCATCCTGGCTAACACAGTGAAACCCCGTCTCTACTAAAAAATACAAAAAAAAATAGCCGGGCGAGGTGGCGGGCGCCTGTAGTCCCAGCTACTCTGGAGGCTGAGGCAGGAGAATGGCGTAAACCCGGGAGGCGGAGCTTGCAGTGAGCTGAGATCCGGCCACTGCACTCCAGCCTGGGCGACAGCGGGAGACTCCGTCTCAAAAAAAAAAAAAAAAAAAAAAAAAAAAAAAGAAAGAAAGTAAAGCAAAAAATTACGAGACACAAGACTGAATAAGACTTTAATAACCAGAAAGACAAACTAACATATTCTCACAACTGTAATTTTCTCAGCCTGGGCAACATGGTGAAACCGTCTCTACTAAAAATACAAAAATTAGCCAACTGTGCTGTGCGCGCCTGTGGTCCCAGCTACTCAGGAGGCTGAGGCAGAAGAATCGCTTGAACCTGGGAGGCAGGGGTTTCAGTGACCCAAGATTGTGCCACTGCACTCCAGCCTGGGTGACAGAGCAAGACCCCCATCTCAAAAAAAAAAACAAGAAAAATTTCCCTGGTCTGAGAGCTGGAAAATGGGGTGTAAACTAGCAGTACTTCATACCTCTGGTGAGAGAAGATGACTAGATAATTTTTTTTTTTTTCTTTTGAAACAAAGTCTCGCTCTGTCACCCAGGCTGGAGTGTAGTGGCACAATCTCAGCTCACTGCAGCCTCCGCCCCCAAGTTCAAGCAATTCTCCTGCCTCGGCCTCCCAAGTAGTTGGGATTACAGATGTCTGCCTCCACACCTGGCTAATTTTGGTTTCTGGTTTTTTTTCAGATGGAGTTTCGCTCTTGCTGCTCAGGCTGGAGTGTAATAGTGCCACTTCCGCCTCCCCACAAACTCTGCCTCCCGGGTTCAAGGGATTCTCCTGCCTCAGCCTCAAGAGTAGCTGGGATTACAGGCATGCACCACCACGCCCAGTTAATTTTATATTTTTAGTAAAGACAGGGTTTCTCCACGTTGGTCAGGCTGGTCTCAAACTCACAATCTCAAATGATCTGCCTGCCTTGGCTTCCCAAAGTGTTGGGATTACAGGCATGAGCCACTAGGCCCGGCCTAATTTTGTTATTTTTAGTAGAGATGGGGTTTCACCATGTTGACCAGGCTATTCTTGAAATCCTGATCTCAAATGATCTGCCCACCTTTGCCTCCCAAAGTGCTGGGATTACAGGCTGAATAAGACTTTAATAACCAGGCGTGAGCCACTCTGTGCCTGGCCTTATTTTTCTTTTCCCCGGTCACATTCTCTCCTGAGGTTGCACCACACTGGTCTCAAGCTCCTGGCCTCAAGTGATCCTCCCACTTAAGCCTCCTAAAGTGCTGAAATTACAAGCATAGGCCACTGTACCGGGCCAAATCTACTTTAAAAGAGAATATCTTCATTGTAAAATTACAAATATAACCCTCCTTGCTTAGATCATATATCAAGAAGTTTTAACATTTAAGTTAATTACGTTAGCTGCAAGAGGATAGTTGCAACATTAATATCAGCTCCTCACATTAATATTAGCTCCTCAGGACTAGGGAGACTCCTAAGTATTATCTCAACAAATTTAAATAAGAAAATGATCCCTAAACGATCACAGGTCTAACTAAGCAAGAGTTGCAAGAGTCAACTCCCAAAGACATATACTTTCAAACTAAATTATCCCAAGGCATATAAATCAGCACCATAAAACAAAATAATGAATAAACACACATCAAAAGGGTAGGGGCAGTGGCTTACTGCTGTAATCCCAGCACTTTGGGAAGCTAAGGAGGGGGCACTGCTTGAACCCAGGAATTTGAAACCAGCCTGGATAATACGTTGCAATCTTGTGTCTACAAAAAAATACAAAATTGCTGGTCAGGCATGGTGCTGCATGCCTGTAATCCCAGCTCTTTGGGAGGCTGAGAAGGGTGGATCATTTGAGATCAGGTGTTCCAGCCCAGTCTAGGTAACATACCTAAACCTCATCTCTACAAAAAAATACAAAAATTAGTCAGATGTGGTGGTGCACGACTACAGTCCCAGCTATTCAGGAGGCTGAGGCAGGAAGACTGCTTGAACTCGGTAGGCGGAGGTAGCTGTGAGCCAAGATCGCGCCACTGCACTCCAGCCTAGGCAACAGGGCGAGACTCCATCTCAAAAAAGAAAAAAAAAAAAATTAACTAGGCATGGTGACATATACCTGTAGTCCCAGCTTCCTGGAAGGCTGGGGCGGGGGAACCCCTTGAACCTGGGAGGTAGAGATTGCAGTGAGCCGAGATCACAACATTGCACTCCAGACTGAACGAGAGTGAGACTCATTCTCCAAGGGGAAAAAAAAAACTAGCCAGGCATGGAGGCTGGCACACACCTGTAGTTCCAGCTACTCAGGAGGCTGAGGTGGGAGGATTGCTTGAGCCTGAGAGGTCAAGGCTGCAAGGAGCCATGATTATACCACCGCACTTCAGCCTGAGTGACAAAGTGAGACCCTGTCTCAAATATATATATATATAGTTCCTTCATATATACACACACATATATATAAATGGAAAGTGAAGCAGAAAGAAAAGAAGAAAATATATATATATGATCTGAGCTAAAGGCCTTTTCTCTAGAGATTTACATTCCTACATTCCACTCCTGAATACAAATTTTGCTTTCTAATGGTTGTGCAAGGATAAAAATAAAATGAAAAAAATTTTTAAATAAATAAATTGGTCAGGCACGGTGGCTCATGCCTGTAATTCCAGCACTTTGGGAGGTCGAGGTGGGCAGATCACGAGGTCAGGGGTTCGAGACCAGCCTGGCCAACATGGTGAAATCCCATCTGCACCAAAAATACAAAAATTAACCAGGCATGGTGGTACGTGCCCGTAGTCCCAGCTACTCAGGAGGTTGCGGCAGGAAAACTGCTTGAACCTGGGAGGTGGAGGTTGCAGTGAGCTGAGATTATGTCACTGCACTCCAGCCTGGGTGACAGAGCAAGACTCCGTCTCAAAAATAAATAAATAAATACATACATAAATAAATTTCACCCTTCACAAAAGTCTTATTTAAAAAAAAAAAAAAAAGGCCAGGCGCAGTGGTTCACGCCTGTAATCCCAGCACTTTGGGAGGCCAAGGCAGGCGGATCACAAGGTCAGGAGATCGAGACCATCCTGGCTAACACAGTGAAACCCTGTCTCTACTAAAAATACAAAAAAAAAAATTAGCTGGGCCTGGTGGCGGTCACCTGTAGTCCCAGCTACTCGGGAGGCTGAGGCAGGAGAATGGTGTGAGCCTGGGAGGTGGAGCTTGCAGTGAGCCGAGATCGCGCCACCGCACTCCAGCCTGGGCGAAAGAGTGAGACTCCACATTTATTTAAAAAAAAAAAAAAAAAAAAAAAAAAAAAGCAGTCCACTCAATCAACATACCTGAAGGTCCCGTTGGGCATCTCGGGCAGTTTTGCCCTCTGGAAAAGACTTGCTCTGGCCATAGCCAAACATCTGGCTTCCTGGCAGCCTATGATCCACATCACGGTACTCCATGCTTCTGTAATCAGTGTCTTGCCGCCCAAGAAAGTCCAGACCGCCTTCTTCTTTAAACAGACCAGCATCTGAACTCTGCTGTTCACCTCCAGAAAGCTGTGACTTATCTTGGTCTTGAACTGGACTCTGGCTGTTCCGAAAGTCTGCTGAAGACTCATGTTCAAAGGCTACACCTTGTGTTTCTCCTTCTCTTGTTTCTGAATGCTCAAATTCTCCCTTCTGAATGCCGAAAGCAGGCCTTTCTATCGTATGGTCATGTGTGGATTCTTCTCTCCTGTTCACATTCATACCAGAATGTTCTCTATCTTGTGTAGAGGGCTGAATGTAATCCAAAATATTTGGATCCACAGGGGGCATCTCCCTATCTTTAAATTCCATACAAGTTCCCATCTCTCTGCCCCTAAAATCCTGATCAGTCCTAGACCGGTGTCTACCTCTGAAATCTGAATGTGGCGTATCCCTGTCCCTAAAGTCTAGATCAGTAGTACCTGAACCTCGGCCTCTAAAGTCTACTTGTGTTCCGTCTTTGTCTCTGAAGTCCAAATCAGATACATCTCTATTCCTAAAATCAGAACGGGACTGTTCTCTGGCCCTAAAATCCAAATCTGATAAATCCCTTCCCCTAAAATCTGCATGGGATCCATCTCGGCCTCTAAAATCTAAATCATAAGTGCCCCGGCCCCTGAAGTCAGATGGAGGAGCATCCCTACCTCTGAAGTCAACAGCGTGAGCATCCCTGTCTCTGTAGTTCATATGAGGTGCCTCCCTACCTCTATAATCCATAGAAGTACCATCTCCACCCCTATAGTCCATAGGTGGTCCTTCTCTATCCCGAAAATCCCCAGAATGTATGTCCCTACCCCTGAAGTCCAACTGTGATGAATCTCTGCTCTGGAAATCAGAAGACGAAAAATCTCCCCCCCTGAAATCATGTCCAGGTCCCTCCCCTCCTCGATAGTCACCATGCGGTCCGTCTCTAGCTCCATAGCTGAAAGAATGCTCCTCTACATTTGCAAAAGGAGGCCCCGAATGCCCCTGGAAATCAAAGGGAAGTGAATCTCTGCCAGGAAAGTTGCCAGAGTGTCTCTCTTGAGCATGACTCTTAAGGGGAGGAGGAGGATAATCCCTGTTCCACCCGGGAGCAAACCTTTCTTCTTGGCTCCCACTGTAGAAACAAAGACAGTGTTATTCATATTGTCCAGAGAGTTTGAAATCTACACACCAGCATATTCTTCTCTAATCACAGCACATTCTTCTGTAAACATTTTTTTTTTTTTTTGGCAGAGTTCTGTAACAAGGTCCTAGATCTGCAGAAAACAGCAAAGTTTTGCTATTTTAAGACGAAGTGGCGGAGTAAACTTTTATGCTCCCATTTCAGAACACGAGGAAAGTCAACACAAGGTTTTCAACATGACTGCTGCAGAAAAAGCTTTCACCCAGTCCTGCAACAGGGAAAATCCGCAATACCAAATAAGCTAACAATGGTGACATGCTACAAAAATTTCCATTTCCTACAGCCAGGGAACTTAAGAATTCCAAGGTCAACATGACGATTCCTATATATCAGAAAAATCAATGCACTGTAAATTTCTTACAGTAAGTTTCAGGAGGTATCTTTCTCACTGCTGCATCCAGTGGTAACTAACATTCCAAAATATTTTATTACAGATACAGCATGGACACCACCCAATCAAAATGGATGCAGGCCCAAAGGGAACACTGGTTGTAAATCACCAGTAGGAACAAGCATACCAGTGTTCACCAGCTGAGCATCAGCCCTGGCTGCATCTAAATCCCAGTTCTGCAGTGGCTCCACCAAGAAACACTCTAACCTGGGTCCTATTTAACTACCCAAGGGTATCATAGAAGGTAGTATGAATCATGCCACAAAGCATATGCAAGTCATTTAAGCCACGCAACAGCATCCAGGGGCTTAATGCTGAGAGGGACCTAGAGAGAGCATTAGGCCTTAAAGCATGATCCCCATGACCCAAATGAAGAAGCTGATATTCCGTATTTCAATGTCTCATGCTACTTTTTCATGGCAATAAAATGCATTTTAAAAATAGGCATAAGTATTAAATTTACATTCTCAATTTACAGAACTCAAGAGATAAACAAGATGTGACCTAATCTTTCATCCTACCCAATTTCTTTCCTTTGCCTAAATTTCAGGACATTTTACATGTTTTGGCTTCAGTCCAAGATTCCCTCAACTAGTTTAAGTAGGCAATTAGGCACCTGGGATCCTAGGTAGGGAGACATGAAAAAGGAAAACATGAAAAGACCTGAAGGGTCATCTGTTATTCAGCATTAAAACAAAAGCATTAAGATATTAATACCAGCTCAATTCTTGCCTCCCAGAACATACAGGGTCTATCATAAGGCCCTTCTGAGCTCAGACTGCACTACCATAGTAAAATTCAAAGGACAACTGAGTCTGGGTCACTCAGCTCAAGAGAAATAATTGCAATGCCAAATCCTTTCTTTTTCTTTTTCTTTTCTTTTCTTCTTTTTGATACGGAGTCTCGCTCTGTTGCCCAGGCTGGAATGCAATGGCGCGATCTCGGTTCACTGCAACTTCCGCCTCCTGGGCTCAAGCAATTCTCGTGCCTCAGCCTCCCGAGTAGCTGGGATTACAGGCACATGCCACCATGTCCAGCTAATTTTTATATTTTTAGTAGAGATGGGGTTTTACCATGTTGCCCAGGCCGGTCTTGAACTCCTGACCTCAGGTGAGCCACCCATCTCAGTCTTCCCAAGGGTTAGGGTTACAGGCGTGAGCCACCATGCCCAGCCAACCCTTTCTTAAAGTAATAGGAATTTAATAACATTAACCTAAATGCTAGAATGATGTACATTTAATGGATTTTCAGAACATGATGACTTCCACTGACTCCCATTAACACTAGTTATGTCTATGTTGTTCATGATAAGAGGAGCAAGTTGGCCGGGCGCAGTGGCTTACGCCTATAATCCCAGCACTCTGGGAGGCCGAGGCGGGCGGATCACAAGGTCAGGAGATCGAGACCACCCTGGCTAACACAGTGAAATCCCATCTCTACTAAAAATATTTAAAAATTGGCCAGGCATGGTGGCGGGTGCCTGTAGTCCCAGCTACTCGGGAGGTTGAGGCAGGAGAATGGCGTGAACCCGGGAGGCAGAGCTTGCAGCAAGCCAAGATCGCGTCACTATACTCCAGCCCGGGTGACGAGCGAGATTCCATCTCAAAAAAAAAAAAAAAAGAGGAGCAAGTTTAGATGTTCTTCTTAAGCAATACAATTTAACACTAAAATTAAGATGTTACCACTAAATACAATGTCTCCCATGTTTAAAATCAATTCAACTCTCTTGCAGGAAGATTTAAGCTTCATCAGACACTCATGAGATGAGAACTGAGGTATGAAATCCACATGTTTTCTGACAAGAACACATCCAACACAGCCTAAGGATTATCTCTCACCCTTCTAAATTAAGACCAAATAGATTTAGAGTAACTTACTGTAGCAGGGTTCTTAGATCTGTATTTTATACAGACTAATCAAGAAACCATTCTACTAATATAAAATATCAGTAGTTATGAAAACTATTTTTAACCAAATAAAAACAAATTTTAAAAGAAAAGTTCAAAGGAAATGTAACAAAATCATTTTCCTGTATCTTTTTTGGTTCAAATTAGTTCCCAAAAACTGTGTCTCCCTCCTGGTCAAAGATCTTAAAAAACAGCATATAATGACTTACATTTAAACTAAAATTAAGGTGGGAAGATATAATTTTAAATAAGTTTAAACAAGTCAAAGACAAACGTTCTAAATTTGAAAAAAGTTAGACAACAGAGCTAAATTTACCTAACATTTCTGAATGCTTACCTAAATCACGTTAATTCTATAAGAAATATCCTTACTTACAAAATAGTTACCCATAAATATAAGTAATAAGAGGATAGATTACAACCTAAATATTTTTAAATGTTAACGTACAACCTCATTGATCTAGATGAGAGGTCAGGAAACTTTTTCCACGAAGAGCCAGTTCGTAAATATATTGGATTTTGTGGGTTATACAATCTCTGTTACAACTATTCAATTCTGCCATTATAGCTTGAAAGCAGCCATACACAATCTGCTAACAAGAAGAGCTGCTGTTTTCCAATAAAACTTTATTTACAAAAACAGGTTATCAGCTGTAGTTTGCTGACAACTGATCTAATCCTTTGTATTTTTAAAAGAAAAAAAATACCCAACATCACACAGCTGTTTTAATTTAAAGACCACTGAAGAGAAAATAAGGATCTCTGTCATTCAGCATTTATGAAATACTAGTTTTACTAAACATTATATGGATTTTCTTTCTTTTTTTTTTTTTTTTTTTTGAGACGGAGTCTCGCTCTGTCACCCAGGCTGGAGTACAGTGGCCGGATCTCAGCTCACTGCAAGCTCCGCCTCCCAGGTTCACGCCATTCTCCTGCCTCAGCCTCCCGAGTAGCTGGGACTACAGGCGCCCGCCACCTCGCCCGGCTAATTTTTTTGTATTTTTTAGTAGAGACGGGGTTTCACTGTGCTAGCCAGGATGGTCTCGATCTCCTGACCTCGTGATCTGCCCGTCTCGGCCTCCCAAAGTGCTGGGATTACAGGCGTGAGCCACCGCGCCCAGCCGGATTTTCTAAACTCAGTTCTCTACCTAAATTTTTCATTGGAACTCCAAGCTTCAAAATAATGAATGAGAACATCTGTTGAATGTAAGTAATAAAATCTTGCAGACTGCCAATCCAAATGAAAATTTACTAGTGGCAGGTGCAGTGGCTCACACTTATAATCCCAGCACTTTGGGAGGTTGAGGTAGGTGGATCACTTGGGGTCAGGAGTTTGAGATCAGCCTGGCCAACATGGTGAAATGCCATCTCTACTAAAAAAACACACAAAAATTAGCCAGGCGTAGTGGCATACATCTGTAGTCCCAGCTACTTGGGAGACTAAGGCAGGAGAATCACTTGAACATGGGAGTCAGAGGCTGCAGTGAGCTGAGATCGTACCCCTGCACCCCAGCATGGGTGACAGAGTGAGACTCCATTTCGAAAAAAGGAAAAAAAAGAAAATGTACTAGTAACAGAATTTTCAACTGGAGCATCAATACTTATGAACGCACACATTTAAAGGTCAGATTTCTTTGCTATGTACCAAGCAAAATCAAAAAGTCACATTCGTGTAGCATTTCATTAACTGTAAACACAATACAAAAGATGTTTAAATACTAGTTAAAATACAGTGTGTATTACACTAGCTATAAAAAAATTAACTCCCTATAAATTTAAAATGCAATCCATTTACAACTAAATGGTACCACCTTCTCCACTCTTCTTGGTACCCAGTAACCCCTAAAATTGAGAGATGGCTTAGCAAACTGCATCAACATGCCACAGACAAGGCACAGCTCTGAATTCTAGACATAAATTAGTGAACTCAATGCAACTTTTATAAACATTTATGTACATTTCACTAGCTTTCCTTACTAGCCAAATACGTATTCCTTTGCTAAGAGACAAAAAGAAACAAAATATTTGGGTATTTTTTAATATTAAAATAATGAAATTAGCCGGGCATAGTGGCACGCGCCTGTAATCCCAGCTACTGAGGAGGCTGAGGCAGGAGAATCACTTGAACACGGGAGGCGGAGGTTGCAGTAAGTCAAGATCGCACCACTGCACTCCAGCCTGGGAGAGAGAGTGAGACTCTGTCTCAAAAACTAACTAAATAAATAAAAACTTAAAATGTTATATGACAAAACATTTGGCATGCTGGGTATTCAGTCTCACAATCATTTTCGAAATTATTTTCCAAATTGATTTTCTATTTTTTTTTTTTTTTTTTTTTGAGACGGCGTCTTGCTCTGTTACCCAGGCTGGAGTGCAGTGGCATGATCTCGGCTCACTGCAAGCTCCACCTCCCGGGTTCAGGCCATTCTCCTGCTTCAGCCTCCCGAGTAGCCGGGACTACAGGCGCCGGCAACCAGCCAGGATGGTCTCGATCTCCTGACCTCGTGATCTGCCCGCCTCAGCCTCCCAAAGTGCTGGGATTACAGGCGTGAGCCACCGCGCCCGGTCAAGTTTCTGTTTTTAAAAAACCAAAAACTATTTCTCCACAGAGAAATCATCTGCATTTATAGTAGCCCAAAATGTTACATATTTATAATTAAAACACTGGCAATTTCAATATTAAAATTTCAGAACTTACCGAAAAGGTCCAGTTCTGTTTGCAGGTCGAGAATCCCCCCACATCTCTTTTTATCAAGAGGGCCCCAACGAGTAGATCCTTTTTCTACCAAATTCTGGTTATAGCAGTACCTGTACAAAATAAACCACAAAAATTAGTATTTTAGAATGTGAACTAAAAGCTAAACTAGTTTCCCACTGCTTGGTTTATCAGGGACCACATCAACAGCAATAACTCTGAAGGTCTTTTGTTTCTTTTTTTTCGAGACGGAGTCTCACTCTGTCGCCCCGGCTGGAGTGCAGTGGCCGGATCTAGGCTCACTGCAAGTTCCGCCTCCCAGGTTTACGCCATTCTCCTGCCTCAGCCTCCCGAGTAGCTGGGACTACAGGCGCCCGCCACCTCGCCCGGCTAGTTTTTTGTATTTTTTTTAGTAGAGACGGGGTTTCACCGTGTTAGCCAGGATGGTCTCGATCTCCTGACCTCGTGATCCGCCCGTCTCGGCCTCCCAAAGTGCTGGGATTACAGGCTTGAGCCACCGCGCCCGGCCTCTTTTTTTTTTAAGAGATGGAGTCTCGCTCTGTCGCCCAGGCTAGAGTGCAACAGTGCAATCTCAGCCCACTGCAACCTCCAGGTTCAGGCAATTATCCTGCCTCAGCCTCCCGAGTAGCTGCAGGCACACGCCGGCCCGCCCAGCTAATTTTTTTGTATTTTAATAGAGACGGGTTTTCACCGTGTTACCGAGGCTGGTCTCAAACTCCTGAGCTCAAGTAATCCGCCCACCTCGGCCTCCCAAAGTGCTAGGATTACAGGCATGAGCCACCGCACCCAGCTGGAAGTCACTTTTAAACATTTATATAATAAATTTATAATAATAAAAATACTTTTTTTTTTTTTTTTTTGAGACAGTGTCTCTCTCTGTTGCCCAGGCTGGGTCCAGTGGCATGATCTCGGCCCACCGCAACCACTGCCTCCTGGGTTCAAGTGATTCTTCTGCCTCAGCCTCCTGAGTAGCTGGGACTACAGGCATGTGCCACCATGCCCGGCTAATTTTTATATTTTTAGTAGAGACGGGGTTTCACCATATTGGCCAGGCTGATCTCGAACTCCTGACCTCGTGATCCACCCACCTCAGCCTCCCAAAGTGCTGGAATTACAGGCGTGAGCCACTGTGCCCAGCCAGAAAAATACATTTTTAATTAAAATGTGTACTCTGGGGTCGGGCACGGTGGCTCATTCCTGTACCTCAACACTGTGGGAGGCCAAGGCAGGCAGACCACTTGAGCCAAGGAGTTTGAGACCAGCCTGGGCAACATGGCAAAACCCCATCTCTACAAAAAATACAGAAATTACCAGAACTTTGGGAGGCTGAGGCAAGTGGCTCACTTGAGGTCAGGAGTTTGAGACTAGCCTAAGCAACATGATGAACTCTCATCTCTACTAAAAATACAAAAATTGGCCGGGCGCGGTGGCTCATGCCTGTAATCCCAGCACTTTGGGAGGTGGAGGCGGGTGGATCACGAGGTCAGGAGATCGAGATCATCCTGGCTAACACGGTGAAACCCTGTCTCTACAAAAATACAAAAAATTAGCCGGGCGCAGTGGCAGGCACCTATAGTCCCAGCAACTCAGGAGGCTGAGGCAGGAGAATGGCATGAACCCGGGAGGAGGAGCTTGCAGTGAGCCAAGATCGTGCCACTGCACTCCAGCCTGGGGGACAGAGCGAGACTCCGTTTCAATTAAAAAATAATAATAATAATACAAAAATTAGCCAGGTGTGGTAGCAGGCACCTATAATCTCAGCTACACAGGAGGCCGAGGCAGGAGAAATGCTTGAACCCCGGAGGCAGAGGCTACAGTCAGCCAAGATCATGTCACTGCACTCCAGCCTGGGCGACAGAGCGAGACTTCATCTTTAAAAAAAAAAAAACAAAAAAAAAACAAAAAAAAAAAAACACCACAAACATTAGCCAGGCATGCTGACTATGTGTAGTCCCCGCTTCCTGGAAGGCTGAAGTGGGAGGATCGCTTGAACCCGGGAGGTTGAGGCTGCAGTGAGCCAAGATCACACCACTGCATTCCAGCTCAGGAAACAGAGTGAGACTGTCTCAAAAAAAAGTATTCTGGGCACCACAAACTTTTCAATGAACTATGAATGCTTCACATTTACTAAATGAAATAAGTATTTACTGATTTTTCTAGCGCTCATTAGCCCTTCCTTTTTGGAAACGGCATTGTAGTATCAACCCCACTGTCTCAGACCTGATCGGACACCATCCAGCATGACCAATCAGAATAATCTATCACCCTCACCACAGTCATTGCTTTGAAGACAGACATATACCTCAAGTCAAGATGAGAAGTTATTTCCAGGACCTTTGTTATAGCTACTGAAAAAGAGGCAAATCTTTATGACCTTGGATTTGGCAATGATTTCTTAAATATGACCCCTAAAGCACAAGGAACTTTAAAAGAAAAAGTAGATAAACGGACTTCATCAAAATTAAAGACTTCTGTGTATCAAAGGACACTATCAAGAGAGTAAAAAGACAGCCCATAGGTCATCAAAATGGCAGACTAGGAAGTTTCAAGGTCTCATTCCTCCATAGAAACATCAGAAAAACAAGCAGTAACTGTCTGAACCAACTGTGACTGAGTTTTAGAAAAGAGTCCAAGGTTTACAAGCAAATATCCAATCAAGAAAAAGCCATCTTCAAAACAGAAGGAAAGTTTTGTAGTGTTTTTATTCACCCTTGCCCTACCCCCTTTCCAGCATGGCAGTGGTTTTTGTCTTAAAGCAGAAGAAGCCCAATTCCCAGCTCCTCCCTCAAAGAGCAAAGCAGACCTTATTTGCAAATTATCGTACATATCTGTTCTACCCTGTCTCGGGGGGTATTTGAAGGACACACATAAGGTGCATGCTTCTATTTCAACCTAACACAAAATTCAGGCAGAGAAAGCAGCAGGTATTGCTAATGAAAGCTGCAAAGCAGACTACAGACTAACAGGCACTTGGGACAAGAGATTACAGATAGATGCCCACAGAAGTTGAGGTGAAATTCTTCGGCAAATTAGGACATTCCAAAGCAACATGTATATGGGGAAATTCAGAAAGCCATATGAATGCCAAGGCAAAATGTATGATCATATAAGACCTAGGCAGGGCGCAGTGGCTCATGCCTGTAATCCCTGCACTTTGGGAGGCTGAGGTGGGTGGATCACTTGAGGTCAAGAGTTCGAGACCAGCCTGGTCAACATGGTGACATCCCGTCTCTACTAAAAATACAAAAAATTAGCCGGGCATAGTGGCGAGCACCTGTAGTCCCAGCTACTTGGGAGGCTGAGGCAGGAGAATGACTTGAACCCTGGAGGCAGAGGTTGCAGTGAGCCGAGGTCATGCCACTGCACTCCAGCCTGGGCAACAGAGCAAGACTCCATCTAAAAAAAAAAAAAAAAACAAAAAAAACCCTAAATATAAATTGCCAACCAAGAATTCTGTATATGGCTAAACTGTCCTTCAAAAAAATAAGGAAAAACATTGGCCAGGCATGGAGGCTCACACCTGTAATCCCAGCAATTTGGGAGGCCAAGGCGGGTGGATCACGAGGTCAGGTGATCGAGGCCATCCTGGCTAACACAGTGAAACCCCGTCTCTACTAAAAATACAAAAAAAAAAAAAAAATTAGCTGGGTGTGATGAGGGGCGCCTGTAGTCCTAGCTACTCGGGAAGCTGAGGTAGGAGAATGGCTTGAACCCAGAAGAATGGAGTGAACCCGGGAGGCGGAGCTTTCAATGAGCCAAGAGCACACCACTGCACTCCAGCCTGGGTGACAGAGCAAGACTCTGTCTCAAAAAAAAAAAGGAAAAAAATCAAGACATTCTCAGATAAACAAAAGCTGAGGGAGGTTCATTACCACTATACAGACCCTGTAAGAAATGCTAAAAGGTAATTCTTCAGTCCAGGCGCGGTGACTCACACCTGTAATCCCAGCACTTTGCGAGGCCGAGGTGGATGGATCACAACGTCAGGAGTTCAAGACCAGCCTGGCCAAGATGGTGACACCCGCCTCTACTAAAAATACAAAAATTAGCCAGGTGCGGTGGCAGGCGCCTGTAATCCCGGGTTACTCAGGAGGCTGAGGCAGGAGAATCACTTCAACTTGGGGGGCAGAAGTTGCAGTGAGCTGAGATCATGCCACAGCACTCGGCACTCCAGCCGGGGCAACAGAGTGAGACTCCGTTTTTTTGTTTTTAGAAAAAAAAAAAAAGGGAATTCTTCAAAATGAATTTTTTTAATTTTTTTTTTTTTTTTTTTTTTTTTGAGACGGAGTTTCGCTCTATCGCCCAGGCTGGAGTGCAGTGGCCGGATCTCAGCTCACTGCAAGCTCCGCCTCCCAGGTTTACGCCATTCTCCTGCCTCAGCCTCCAGAGTAGCTGGGACTACAGGCGGGCACCCGGCTAGTTTTTTGTGTTTTTTAGTAGAGATGGGGTTTCACCATGTTAGCCAGGGTAGTCTCAATCTCCTGACCTCGTGATCCGCCCGTCTCAGCCTCCCAAAGTGCTGGGATTACAGGCTTCAGCCACTGCGCCCGGCCTTTTTAATTTTTTTTGAGATGGAGTCTCACTCTGTCACCCAGACTGGAGTGCAGTGGCGCGATCTCAGCTCACTGCAAGCTCTGCCTTCCCGGTTCACACCATTCTCCTGCCTCAGGCTTCTGAGTAGCTGGGACTACAGGCGCCCACCACCACACCCAGCTAATTTTTGTATTGTTAGTAGAGATGGGGTTTCACTGTGTTAACCAGGAAGGTCTCGATCTCCTGACCTCGTGATCTGCCCACCTCAGCCTCCCAAAGTGCTGGGATTACAGGCGTGAGCCACCGCGCCTGGCCCAGAATGAATTTTAAAAAGCTAGACATGAAGCTATGTGAAGAAATAAAGATCTCGGCCGGGTATGGTGGCTCACACCTGTAATCCCAGCACTTAAGGAGGCCGAGGCAGGTGGATCACCTGAGGTCAGGAGTTCAAGACCAGCCTGGCCAACATGGCAAAACCCCGTCTCTACTAAAAATACAAAAATCAGCCAGGTGTAGTGGCATACAACTACAGTCCCAGCTACTCAGGAGCCTGAGGCAA